AAGATATGAGCTGAGACTTGAAGGAAGATGGGATCTAGAGACCAGGGGAAAGAGCATTCCAGACTTGGAGAACCAGTGAAAGGTCCAAAGTTGGGAGATAGAGTGTCCTGTTCAAGGAACACAAAGAAGGCCTGTATCACTGCGTCATAGAGTATATAGAGGAGAATAAAATATAAGAAAACTGGAAAGGTAAGAAGGGGCCAGGTTATGATGGCCTTTAAAAGCCAGAGGATTTTATATTTGAACCCGAAGATAAAGAGCAGCAATAAACTCCAATAAACTAGAGTTTATTGAGTAGCAGAGTGACATGGTCAGACCTGCACTTGAGGAAGATTGTTTTTTAGCAGCTGAGCGAAAAATAGATTAGAGCAGAAAGAAACATTGAGGCAGGGGGATCAGCCAGAATGCTGTTGTGACAGTCCAGGTGTGAGTTGATGAGGGCCTCCAATAAAGTGGTAACTATATCAGAAGAGAGAAGGGGATGTATACAAGAAGGTAGAATCAACAGGATTTGACGACAGATTGTATATGGGGGTGAGTGGGAATAAAGAGCATAGGATGACACAAAAGAATGTAACACCACCCTGATGAGAAAATGAAGATCAGAAATCCCAAGCTTCACTTCCTTTCAGAAGGATCTCATCTTGGATCTAAAACATCTGGTCCAGGTGGTGGCTAATGTGAAATTTTTGTAATTAATAATGGATATCTCAATATAAAGAGGTGAATGTGAGCAGGAGTAGCACCAGGAACATCTGATCTACAAGGAAAATGACAATAACAATTCCTGAATAGTCATAGATCCCCATCATAGAACTATCCCATTCCACTATTCAGTGGTATTTCCTGGTGTTTCCCGATCCTCAAGCCAAGACCTCTCCTTCCTTGGGATGCCTATGAAAAGAGCAATAGAGTACCAGATCTGTCCCATTAGAGGCCTCTGAGGGAATGCCATCTTTCTGCAGGGGCTGAGTAGACACTTCCACCTTTCCCTTGTTGCCAGAAAGCAAGCCTCTATGCGGCAATGCTGCTCCTTGTTTCTCAAAGCCCTCACTATAAAGGAGTTATCCAATTATTGCTGGCTTTGTAGGAACAGCAGTATGGCAGGGGCCAGTCAATAAGCAGAAGGCTACAGTGGACCTGCGTTTGCCACCACTCATGCCAGTGCTTATTCTGCTGGAGCCTGTGTCTCTGCCCATTCGCCAGTTGCTAGGTCCAAGCATCTCTTCCCACTTGGACTGTGTATTCCACTGCCTGTTATTCCACTGCCCACTCTGCCAGACCAATTGTTGCACCTTTCCCTGGTTACTGGGGCCTAAGCACTGTATCAGGTGCTCTCACCCCACCCCCAGGCTCTGCCTGTGCTGGCACAGGAAAATCACCACTCCTAGGAACTGACTCTGCTCCCCATGCCAGGGTGGAGCCTTGCTACAAGACTGAGTGATGTCCTGCCATTGTTGGGGCCTGAGCTCTGTTGCTTTAGCATTGGCCAAACATTGCCTCAAACTTGGCTAAAACATTGCCTTGGACTTGAGCTATGTTGTGCCTGACGCTACTGGGGCCCAACCGGAGTGCTATCTTGTGCGGGAGTGTCCTGGGGCAGAGCCTTGCCATGTCCCTGTGCCACTAGTGCCCCCTGTGCTGAAGCGGAGCACTGTGATAGTATTGCTGTTGCTGGCTCTGCCCTCCCTGCCATGCCTTCCTGGATGCTGCAGCCCAGAGTGGCACTGCCCCAGGCTAGTTCACCATTGTTGATGAAGTCAGGAACCATGCCACATGGTATGGCTCAGGCATTTCCAAGAATCATCTCCAATTGATTCTATCCAATCAGTCCATACCTTGGGTTCCTCTTCCTGTTAGTGGTCACCCTTTCCATTGTAGGAAATTCCTTCACTAAAGAGCTCTGACATCTCAAAACTCAAAGCTTGACTTCAAGGCTAATAAATATCAGGTTATCTATGTTCAGGAAATGAGATAATGGTCACTACCACACCTAGAATATTGTATTTAGTTCTGGGAAACCACAGTTTAAGAAAGACCTTGATAATTTGGAGTGTGTGCAGAGGAGGGCAATCCAGAATTTCTAAGGACCTTGAGTCCATGTCATATGAGGATCAATAGAAAAAGCTGGCAATATTTAATGTGGAAAAGACTCAGCAGGGAGATGACAGTTGATTAAAGGACTTTCATGAGGCAAAGGAAGGAGACTTGTTTTGTTTGTTCATAGAGGGCAGCACCCAGGAGCGATGGTGGCAAAGAGGCAAATTTTGATTTATTGTCAGGAAAAAATTCTTAGCATTTCAAGCTATCCAAGAGTGAAACGGGTTGCTTTAGGAGGGTTTTCTCTGTCTTCCCCCCTCCCCCATCAGAAGTCTAAAGCAGATGCCAGATGACTAGTTGTCAGTTATGTTATAATGAGGATTCTTTTTTGGGCAAGAGTTAGATCCCTTCCAACTCTAGGATTCTGTGATTCTCTTTATTGCAATGACACATGAAATAGGAATATGTCTTATTTCTCTAGTTACCCTGTGTAATGTTAGGATGGAATGTGGTAACAGTTGACATCATAATTTTGAAAATGTAGCATTCTCTTCTGGCCTCAGACCAAACACGACACTTACTAGATGTGTGACCCTGGGCAAGTCACTTAACCCCAATTGCCTAAAAAAAAAAATGTAGCATTCTCCACATACAATGCTTTTGTTTAGTGGCACCTCTCTCTACCAAAGAAGATCCCAAATTTTCTATCATTTTAGTCCTAGACAGTTACCTAAGGCTCAAGATGTTAAATGATATGTCCACGGTCACACAATTGATATGTCAAGAGGCAAGATTTGCTTGTAGGTTTTTGTGTCTTCAAGTATAGCTACATATCCAGCACACTAAGCTGCCTACCTGATCTCTAGGTTACCAAGTAACCTCTGAGAATAATAACAGCACCTATAACCCAGAGGTTTGGGGAGGATAAAATAAACTCTTTGTAAAGTCCTTTGCAAACCTTAAACAGCTAACAGCTAGCAATATAATAGGCTAGCTGTCACTAGCGTATAGTGCCTCATATGTGCCAGGCACTGTGTAAAGCAGTTTACAAATATTATCTCATTTGATCCTCACAGTTGAGGAAACTGAGACAAGCAGATTAGGGTCATTCTCAGATCCTTGCCTTAATTAACATCATCTTTTACAATTTAGCTAAGTAATCACCCAAAGAGACTGTACTTATTGTGCTTAAATGTAAAAGAAAAAAAAAACCAACAACAAAACAAACAAAAAAAAGACTAGCCTATTCTATGTGGTAAGACTATGAATTTCATGAAACACATGATAAATGGAATTTTGCCTTTTTTTTCCATTTCTTTTACTTGCCTGTTCTTGTCCCATTAGCTATATATATCTTTTGATGTTATTTCACCATTTTGTTTGAATTTCCTCTTCTGGAAAATAGGTATAACAGCGTCTCCCTTCTCTCACATAATTATTGTGATGGTAAAATAATGTTTATTTTATAAAGTAGACAATATTTTACAAAGGTTATAATAAGTCCCAAGGATTGCAACAGAAAAGGTTTATTAGCCTTGAATAAAACAGAAATGACTAAATTTCCATTGCCTGAGCACTTAAGGTAACTGAGAACTTAAGGTATAATGTGACCTTAAGTTATCCATTTCAAAATTTACAACTCAATATAGGAAAATGATGTGATTTTGTCAGTGGAAATGTCATTTAAGAAGAGATATTACTGACATACTCTAAGGACCATGAGATCTTTCCATTTGATTTGCAGTTGCAATCTTCCATATGTTATCTTCTTCATTAGAATGGGAAGTCCTTGAGAGTAGGGATCAACTTCCTTTTTTTTTCTTTAATTTGTATCCCCAGTATTTAGCACGATATTTTTTTCATTCATTCATTCATTCACACATGTATTCATTTATTCCTCTGAGGTAGGTAAATATATAATATTGAGCTCAGGATGGGTGATGAAATGAGCTTCCCAGCGTCACACAGCTCTAAGTGGTGCCTAAGGAAACCTGTAGTATTATTGTAAATATGAAGCTACATGTTTGGTGAGTTTTAATGCATAGGGCCAATCAGAAAACCTTTCATTTGAACTGTTTTTGAAACTATAAAACATTAGTCTACTTTACTGCCTCAATAAGTACAATAGGGCAAAAGTCATTTCTTTATGTCTAAAGAAATTTCTGTCATAATATTTGAAGAGTAGGGATTACTGAACTACTCTAGTTATAGGGTTTGCCAGAAAATGTGCTGCCCCATGGTTGCCTTTTAGAAGTAAATCCCTAATGATCTTATTTCACTCTTTTGTCTTTGATACTTACTTATATGATTTCAGTGCAAAAATTGAGGATACCTTTGTTTGAATGAATGTTCAACAGTTAAGCTTTTTTAAAGATTGTTTTTGTATTTTTTCATCTTTGTGAATTTCCCATATTATTTCTTACATCAAAGAAAGATAGTTTCAGAAAGATTTGACAGTATTTACTCAAGCAGTTGATGCCTTTTTTTCCTTCTTTGGTCATCCCTTCTTGAATGTTCAAAGCTTACCCAGCCATTGTGTAAAAAGAGAGATCTTTAAATATGAAATTCTGTTATGCAGGTGTGTTGTTACATGCTCAATAAGTGGCTTTTTTAAATAAATGTTTTTATTTAATTTTATTTAAAGTGTTTTAAAATAAATGATAATGATTCATTTTACTGGAATGGTGATGACATGAGATGGTATGAGCATGACATAACTTAATAGTGGATATAGAACAAGGAAGATTTGTGGTAAAAAAAAATCTCCCCTCTGACTTGCAGGAAGACAATGGACCAATCATTTAACTTAGTGGAGGGACTTTCCTCACTCATTTAAAGTATTGGGATTAGCTTATGTGGTAGTAATTCATTATATTTTTTTTTAAAAATCAGATTTCCTCATTCTTTTTCATTTGCTTCAAATATTTGGTTGGAACAAATGTTGAAAAAAAAATACCCAGTAAATTAAGAACAGCCTTTTATTTGGGTCTACTTTTCAATACAGTACATCTTCAGTACAAGTGATAAATTAGGACTAAGGGCTAGCAATACTTATTTTCAACGGGCTGTTCCAACAAGACATTTTACATACCATCAGTAACTACACTAGTCTGAAGGATGATGACTTGTCACTTTCAAGTAAAAGAAAAGCTTGAGTTCTTTCCTTCCTTTCTGAAAACAGTGTGGTACAAATTGATATTAGACAGCCGCTTGCAACCCTCAAACACTTTCACATGATAAATGTAAGCTTGCTCATTGCCAGACACAGAAGTTGAAACTTTTTTTTTATCCAAATTCCACCCAAGGAGTTTTTCTAGAAGAGCTTTATTTCATGAAAGCCTGACAGAGGTAATTTTTCAACACAATTTCTATTAATTACAACAGTATATCAGCTGCTGAAACCAATGAACTGAGAAAGTAATATTTTTTGAAAGAAGGTACATAATTCAAGTGGTTGTACATTTTAGAACAGTTACTTTACTATACACTTAACAGCAGTTATTTATTGGTAGCTTGTAAGTAATTTAAAATCAACAGAGAAAGTTAGGATCCCCCAACTTGTCTAATGAAAATATGTTCCATATGTCAAATATTATGCTAGTTCTGTTTTTACAAAGTCAGAAAAGTATGATTTCTCTCTCCAAGGAGAAAGATTTGAATATTTAGAAATACTTTAATTTTGGCTACAGGAATTGATTTTTTTCCCAAGTAATTATTTTTGCTTTCCTTTGATTTGGTGATATGGTTTACTTGGTTGTTATTTTTTAAAGAAATAATTCACCCTGATACTTTGTAGGAAATTTAACCAGTTTCACAATTACTACTGTCTTCCCAAAATGCTCAAATTCTATTTATTGCATATCAAAATATTAATGTGTTAGACTTTGATTATTACAGCATAACATTACTTAGGATGATCTTGCTTCCCAATTTTATAGTTTCTCATTATGAGATATTTTGGTCATATCTGATTATCTGTCATAATATATATGTACATATATATGTATATATATATATATATATAATCTTAAGCACAATAACTTTTAAAATAATTTACTGATTTGTGTTTTAGGAGTAGTTAATTTCTCATTATCCAAGCCAAAATGGACCTGTAAAGCTTTCGAGTTTCAGTTTTCTTGCAGCCCTTCTTGCTATAGCCACAAAAGCTGTCAATGTGTCAGTAATATATTTGGCCTGCAATAATCATGTGACTTAATTTTTTTAAATTTCTGGTCTGTGCCTGAACTGATATCAGGAAATACTTTCAACAGAAAAGAGAAATTAAGGCATTTAATGGGAAGCTAACAGGAATATGATTTATAGGATAAGGTTGCTTCTTGTATCTGATTTAAAAAGCCAGAGGAATAAAGTGGAGGGAAGTTTTGAGAAGACCTATAATTAAAATCAAAGCTCAGTTGGCAGGAGTCAATTCCTGCTTGTTCCATTCTCTCCATCATTGGTCTTAGATCTAATGAATATGGTATTTCAGTTGTACGCAGGAATACAGCATTTGGTCAGAATTAAAGAATAATTAAAAAATAGGGATAGAGTTTCTGAGAAAAGCTTAAGAAACAATCTTATCAAACTTGAGGGAAGGCTAGACATGGCAGTAGGTGAAATTCCAACAAACTAGAATAGACTTGAAAACATACAGAAAACCCTAGGCATCCTGAAGTAGCAGACCCTTAGTTATTGATATGCATGTAAATTTTCCCACTCTTGCCATGAGTAACACACTATTCTTATTCTTGGTTTCTTGGCATTCAGCATCTATAATTCTGGGAAGAAAAAGCTAGACATCATAATTACAAATAAGTTGACAAAGCTATACAAACTTCATTATACTGTATAATTTACTTACATTATTGTCCATTTTTTCTATCACTTTCTATGTCATCATTCTTAGTAGAGGTCATCCTAGGAAAAAACTAACCAGTGACATCATGCTGTCATAATTATCCAAATAAGTGCTCTCGTTTTTTGCACAGAACAGTTACAATTAGCATAGGCAATCACTGAGTAACATCATTGCTACAAAATTCATATTGCTAAGTTGTATCTTCTCAAGGATAATAGTTTAAATCTACCCTTTGAAACATTTTTCTGCATGTGCACAAACAAAAAGGTTTAAAACGTTAAGAATTCTAGTATAAAAATCATACATTACATGAAAACCCACAAACCGTAAATACAGAAGATACATGCACAGAGAAGCCAGTAAAGCATAGAGCCTGTGAGATATTTAATTTCATTTGTATTCACTGTGGTATGACAGATGTCTTTCCTAGCTCAGAGAGGAGAAGAATATATTCTCAAGAAACTTTGAACACTGTCCACTGCACTGAATGAAATTAAATTAAAATGCTCACTGCTTATACAGACAGCAGCAAGAAAGTAAGCAAAAAACTTACAACACATTCCTTTTTAATAGATCAAAAAGGTTTCCAAGGCAATGTTATTATTATTATTACTGTACCACAATCCCCAGCATAACAGAGCTGTAATAGGAGAGTAAAGTGTATAACAGAAGAGGGCTTTCATCCAGTGTGCTGTTTAGGTACTTTTCTTTTCATCACCCAATAAGTTCACGGTAGCTTTCTTGGCTGTTGTAGAGTGAAAAGGAGAGAACAGTAAATGACTTTGCCACACAGGATATGCGCCTTAGTTAGATAATAAAACTTAGATGATTATATTGCAAGTATAGCAAGACACAACAGTATGTAGTTAGGGCTAAGATGTCTTGCAAAAACCAAGGACATTGATAAAATTCATCTAGTTCTAAACAACCCTAATAACACGTTATAAAGAATTTAAGGACTAGAAGAGACATGAAGGTGATCTTCTTCAGCCCACTTCTTTTAGGGAAGCCAGCTTTGAAACCATACAAGACTACTTTTAATCTTATCTTTAAAGGTCTCTACGAGTAGAAGGTCTCAAAGAAGCCAAAGTTATGTATATGAAAAAATGCTCTAAAACATCGTTGATTAGAGAAATACACATTAAAACTACTCTGAGGTATCACCTCACACCTATCAGATTGGCTAATATGACAGAAAAGGAAAATGATAAATGTTGGAGAGGATGTGGGAAAACTGGGACACTAATGCAATGTTGGTAGAATTGTGAACTGATCCAACCATTCTGGGAGCAATTTGGAACTATGCCCAAAGGGCTGTAAAACTGCATACACTTTGATCTAGCAATACTACTCATAGGTCTATATCCCAAAGAGATTTAAAAAAAATTTTTTTTGAGGGGGGCTAGGCAATGGGGGTAAGTGACTTGCCTAGGGTCACACAGCTAGTGAGTGTTTTGTGTCTGAGGCCAGATTTGAACTCAGGTCCTCCTGAGTCCAGGGCCAGTGCTGTATCCAATGTGTCACCTAGCTGCCCCCCAAAGAGATTTTTTTAAAGAGGTAAAAGGACCTGTTTGTACAAAAATGTTAATAGCAGCTCTTTTTGTAGTGGCTAAGAATTGGAAATCAAAGGGATGCCCATCAATTAGGGAATGGCTAAACAAGCTGTAATATATGATTGTAATGGAATACTATTGTGCTATAAGAAATAACAAGCGGAATGATTTCAGAAAAACCTGGAAAATTTTAGATGAGCTGATGCAAAGTGAGCAAAACCAGGAGAACATCATATGCAGTAACAGCAATATTGTATGATGAAGAATTGTGAATGACTTAGCTATTCTCAGCAATGCAATGACCAAGACAGTCCCAAAGCACTAATGATGAAACATACTATCTGCCTCCAGAGAAAGAACTGATATTGTCTGAATACAGACTGAAGCATGCTATCTGTCTCTTTCCTTCTTCCTTTTTCAGGTCTTTTTGTACAAAATGATTAATATGGAAATGCTTTACATTGTACATGTATAACCTATATCGGACTGCTTACCATTTCAGGGAGGGGGAAAGGGAGGGAGGGATAGAATTTGAAACTCAAAACATAACCCCAAATGTTAAAAATTGTTTTAACATGTAATTGGGGGGAAAATATTATATTTTAAAAAATACTATAAAGAAGAGGTCCAGATAGCTACCCTGAGCAGCCTTGGGTATTATTGATTAAAGGATGAGGAAAAACTTCTGTTTGAGGGTTATATGGGCTAATTTCTGTACAACTCCTTATCTATTTAAATAACTCTTTCTTACCTTCTTTAGTGATGGCATCTGCAGTCTCTTTGGCTTTGTCTTTCAGATCCTTCACCACACTGTCCATTTGGGATTCATGCTTCAGGAAGAAAGGGCGGATGATACGCTTGTACAGCATCTCAGCACCATTTGAAGGGCTGGGGGCCATACACCACAACAGGAAGCCACACTGTATAGAGCCAAGAATCAAAATTAGTGACAAAGTTAGGCCAGCACAATAAGAACGTGTACCTCCTGCTGTCCAGCACTTTTCACATAATTTCCCTAGTACTTGCATTTGTAGAAATATATTTCTAGTGTTTCTAAAAATATATATATATTATTATGAACAGAAAGTTGAAGTGTGAAAACAAGGATAAAAATTTGTTCAGAAAAGAAAGAGAAATTAAAATCCAGCTGCTGACCTAACTTTTAATGTAGATTACATTTCTAATAATGACAATAGCAATTATCATTACTTTCAAATCACTGAAGTCAGCTGCAAAAATATCCAGAACTAGAAAGACTGTTTCCAGTCCTCAAGGGGTTTATTAAAGGCTGTGTAGTTATTCTCTTCCTAATACCCCTAGTGTGATTTTTCTGATTCATTACACAGATGAAAAGAAATCAACCCAAGGAAAAGTGGATGGAGAGGATTATTTCAGAGACAGAGAGGGGTGGGGAGACTGCGGCGACCAATGTGGCCTCGAGGCCCGCAGGTTCCCCACACCTGTAATAGAACGTAAACTAGTCATCTTGGATTGGGCATTGGATTCACGGTTCTTCAGTTGATTTCTTATTCTCCTAATAAATCTTTAAAGTCACTTTCCTTTTTCTTTACCCATGTCAGAACAGAATTAGATGTGACCCAGCTGCAAGGTAAGCAGTATAACCTTGATTGATAAGAGAAATTTGTTTTCAATAAAGTAATTTTGCTGACTTTTTCCTTTTGCTAGAATAATTAAAATCACACCCTAGCTTATATATGAATTAACAATAGTAATAATAATCTTAGTAACAAATAATCAAATCCTGTGTCATATCAGTCTTAATCTATACCTTCAGAACTATAAAATGGACCTCACCCTTCAACTGAAACTGCTTTTTCCAAAGTTACCAATGATCCATTTCCAGATCTAAAACCACAAAATAAATCACCAAAAGCAAAAACCAACCATCCCACACATTAAAGGTCGAGTGTTCAAAATATGTGTATATAAACTTGTCAAAAGATTTGGAAATGGAATTGGGTGAAATATCCCATTTTCTCCTGCTCTGATCACTGTGTGTGTGTGTGTGTGTTTGTTTGTTTTTTTCTTTTTTCCTCCTTTTAGATCACTGCATCAGGAAATGAGGTTTAAAAACAATCAATGGAAATTTGTAGTAGTAGGTGGAACTCTTGTAAGCTGTTCACTTTATTACCATGCTTCTAGTTGGGCCCTTTGCTTGCGCCCTGGTCTATGGTGCCATTGGCTATTGGAAGGACACCTTGGCCAGCAGTGCCACCCAGTGCTGTTGGAAGCTTGGGAACACAGCAGTGTTGCATCTTTGTCTCTGGTGCTGCAGTTTCCTGAGCTTTTTTTGGTCTTCCTCTCTTCATTCCAGGAGGAATCTTTGCCCATCATGCTGCTGCAGCACCTATACTGGTGCCATGTGCCCACCTGCCTGCTAGGCCATCAGACTGGTCAGCCAGGAGCTTGTGATTGAATGGAATCACTTCCGGGTTCTGGCCTTTCAGGACAGTGGTTATGGGGTTCAAGAGGTCAGTGAAGAACCCAGTCACACCCTCACAGCCTGGAAATGTGTTGACATCAATGACTGCATGCTATCCAGTCTGATTGTTGATAATGATGTCTATCCCAAACAGCAACACACCAAGCAATTGCTCCAGGGCCTTGGAAATCTCCCTGACATCTTCAGAGGGCCTCTCAAACACTCCTATTTTGTCCAATGCGGGCAGGATGGAAAATGACTGATTTTAGCATGTTATGGCTGTTGAAGAATATTGATTTTCTGTCTGACATTCCTGCAGAAAAGTTCTTCAGAGATCTCTCTGTACCAGGATGCAGGACTCACCCACCACAAATACTCGGTACAGGCCAGAGTTGTTACCGACGAAATTCTGAATCGCTAAGGGAATCATGATGGCACTGAGGCCTTCCTGGCTAAAGATGATGGCCATCTCATGAGAATTGGTGCTGAGGGCCATTCTGATTTTGCAAATGAATGGGAAGGCCAGTCCTTTCTTCACTAGAAGCTGCATAGTATCTTCTCCTCATAAGCTTGTGAACTCTAGGAAGGGTAGGGAACAGATCTGTTTATCTTTCATGGGGGTTTCAATCTTTTGAATAAGTTTGTAGGACTTGGATTGATCTAGAAGGCTCTTAATGGCAGGGAGGGGATCCAGGATGATGGTCTCAGGGTGAGCATCAGTATAATCCCAGAATCTGTGAACCAGCTCCAAGGATTGCCTATCATTCTGATCAGCTTCCAGGATAACGTCAGTCAGTTTGTGTATGATCACATCCAGTAGGCTCTGCTCCTTGACTGGTTTACTAAGGTTGAGCTACACAACTTTTATGCCCCATTTCCTGCACAAGTTGGCAAAGGCCTGGAAATTGAGCTATTCTCAGCTGCCACCTTTGTGCCCACCTCCTCCTCCTCCTGCCACTGTTTCTTATAACACCACCCCCCTCTGCCTACCAATACTAGGAGTGAGGTATTGATGGGGGACTGGGAAGAAACACCTTCCTTCTATGCGTGTGTGTGTGTGTGTGTGTGTGTGTGTCTGCAGAGCCCTACCTTCCAGCCCTCTGTAGCCTTTTTGGGGGCTGCTGGTGGCAGAGCCACCAGGCTGCTGGCTTGTACCCCAATTTGATAAGCCTGACTCTAGGTTTTGTGACATTGCTCTTCTCTACCTTTCTGACTATTATTCAGCCTCTTTTGTAGAATCTTCAACTAAGTCATGCCCACTAGCCATGTCCCCTTTGTGTTCTCCCTCTATCCCATTTCAGTTGGTGATCTCATGAGCTCTCATAGTTTCAGTTATTATTTCTATGCAAATGATTCTCAGATCTATATTTCTAGCCCTAACCTGTCTCCAGTTTCCCATCTCCAACTGATTATTAGATATCTCAATCTAGGATATAGACATTCTACTCTTAATATGTCCAAAATGTAACTCATTATTCTAGGGTACTACCATACTTTCTGTCACTCAGGCTCTCAACCTCCGTGTCATTCTCAATTCTCTCATTCTTCCCACCCCCATATCCATCTTGGAGGCTATGAAGTGGCTGAGATCCAGGAGGGTAATAAAAAAATGCTCCATTAGGGACATCCACATGAGCTCAGTGAATAATATTTGGACAATGACACATTGAACAGATTGCTGAATTATGCAAGAACTATTTGTGGAAACCAAAGAATGCTTCTTTTAAAAAAAAGTTAAATGTTACTGTTTTCCATTAACAAAAATCAATTTTCTCTCTCTCTTGCCTCCTCGACAATTTGGAGTAGGGGAGTGGAACCTTGCAGCAAATATGTTTAACCAGGCAAAACAAATTCTAGCAATGGCTATGTCCAAAAAATATTTGTCTCATTCTTCACCCTCAGGCCATCACTTCTTTGTTAGGAGATGAGTAATGTGCTTTGTCATCAGTCCTCTGGAATCATGGTTGATTAAATTCTTAAATCTTTGAAAGTAATTACAAGGTTTCTCAAGAAGCCTAGGCTTAGTGAATATGCAAGGAAATGGAAGAAACTGTGCAACACATCCCCGTTGGTATGAAAATTCATCACTTATAGGATGCCTGGCAAGATATGAATTCCAGTCATGGTTTCTAGAATTCTACACCATTAGCTTGCTACCTTCCATGGGCTGAAAGACAACAAATCCCCATACTGGAAATATCCTAGAGAATTCAACTAATACTAGAATCAGATTTTTATCACAGACCAAACTATTGCCCAGGGATTACATCAATCCATAAAAATCTAAAAGCAATGATATAATAGACATGGCAACATAAAATATTCAATTTCTAACTTATGTAGAACAAAAAGTTTTTGAAATATCAAGGCCTAGCAGAGAAGCTTAAATCATGTGGGAGGAAGAGTGCTTGCAATGAGCCTCCAAAGGATGAACTTGCAGCCCATTCAGCTGCAAAAAGGTTATTTTATATGCCTGCGCATATTTTTAGAATATTGAGCCTGAAAGAATAAGAGCAAAATAGTCCCAGGATTTCTATATGAATACCATAAAAAATATAAGAATGAGATAGCGCTTTACATATATTGTCTCATTTGATCTTTTTTGTATTTCTACCACCCAAATAACTCTTTGCTTAGCTCCAGAACTGAAAGCTATTCCTTACTGAGATGGTATGTACCAGATATACTGAGCTAGTTTATCTGCATCTCGAACTGGCATAGCTTCAGCAACCTTCTGAGACATAGATTTGTCTATGGCTACCCATGTCTTTTCTGTAATCTCTTTAATGACTTCTTCATCAAGTCTTTCCAGGTGTGGGTCACCTGCATTCATAATTTCTTTGGGAACCAAGTCAGTGTACTTGCTATAAATTACCTTGTCCTTTGATTATCCCTGTCAAGCAATTGTACCATATTTAATTTCCCTTTGCATCCACACAAAAGGCCAATGCATTGGACATTTTCTTCTTTATTCCTTTATCCCATATCTTATTTTGTAGATAAATAAGAGGTTAAATGACTTGCCCATGATCACACAGGTAGTGAGTATCTGAGGCAGAATTCAAATCCAGGTCTTGCTGACTCAAGTTCAGTGCTCCTATCTGCTCTGCAATGTACCTACTATGTACAATGTTCTGTGCAATGTGAAACTGACAATGCATTGCATAAAAGATCTTAACCTACCACAAGCAAATTCATGAAAACATTTATGTACTTCAAAAAAGTTTAACAGAATTCTAGATGCAATTGGAGTCATTAAGTTTTCAAAAGTGCTATCATACAAGAACATCTTCAGGCAAAGTTGAACTTGAATAAATACTTTCAGTGGATTTATATCCTGTATCTATTAAAAAGTCAATTTTGTCATCTGGTGAAAAGTATGCTTTTTCCTCATAATCTTATAAACCTAACAGCATGTATTTTATGTTAAAATACTCAAACTTTAACACTTTCATATTTTTAAAACAAGGAACATAA